GGGTGGGCTGGCTCTGGAGGGGTTGGGCTGGCTCTGGAGGGGGGCTGGGCTGGCTCTGAAGAGGCTGGGTCGCTCGCTGCTCGAGCAGGAGGGCTCTGAAAGCCTCAGCACTGCAGGACAGAGCACTGCCCATCCCAGTCCATGATTCATGGTTTTCCCCAGAGTGCTGGTTCAGTGTCTGCCCGACAGGGACACTCTGCAGGTCCCCGTGGAAAGTGCAGGGAGAGTTTCCAGCAGGCAGAGTGTAATTACCCAGAGGGAATTAGGCCAAGACATCAAAGTGGTTTTACAGCATTGGCACGAATCCTCTTTCCTTTTATATATAGGAAGATCAGAGACACAGAGGGATAAAGGATTTTCAAATTCTCTGCAACACAGGTTGCCCCTGAGTTTTGGTGGCAAGGTTGGAAGGCTTTTGAGTAGCTGTTTTGTTTTTTTTTTTTATTGTGGGTTTTGGGGTTTGGTTGTTTTTTAAAACATGTGCTTTGAAAGGTCCCTTTCAAATGGCCTCAGTTTGGAGCTCCCTAAAGCATAGCACCCATCCTGTAACTGATTCTTGGAAACCTGCACCCCTGTGGCTTCCCCTAGTCATGGAGAGCATGTTGGGCAGACCTGGAGTTGACAACCTAGAGCTCTTGACTCCAGTCTGCTACAAAATGCACTGGGCCAAAGTGGAGTAACACACGACTGATTCCTGACTCTTCTTTCCTCTTGTTAACCTAACCATCGCTTTCTCTTTCTTCCATTTCTGTATCTGCTCTTCTCCAAGCCCAATGCTTTCTTCAGGCCCCAGCAGTGGGGTTCACCATGCAGCCCTGCAGCCAAAGCCCAGTCCCTTCCAGCAGATCAGCCCACATCGGATGTCCCCAGGATGCTCTCGGCAGCTGGGACCGCCCAGCAGTCCCCCCCAGCGGAGCAGCCGGGCAGACCGTCCCCCGCGGGCTCTCCCAGGAACAGGCAGACTCAGACCAGCTCCAGCAACCTCCACCTCCCCCAGGACTCTGCCATGAAAGGGCAGCCGGGCAGCGAGGACCCGGTGGTTGTGACTCACGAGCAGTTCAAAGCTGCCCTTAGGATGGTTGTGGACCAGGGAGACCCCCGGACTATGCTGGAGAACTACGTGAAGATCGGGGAGGGCTCCACAGGAATCGTCTGCATCGCCCGGGAGAAGCACTCGGGCCGGCAGGTGGCAGTGAAGATGATGGACCTGAGGAAGCAGCAGCGCCGGGAGCTCCTTTTCAATGAGGTGAGGAGGGGGGTCGGCTCTCCAGAGTAAAGCCATGGCAACGGGCAGCGTGGGCAAAGCAAGGGGAGAGCAGGAGCATCTGCCCGTGAGCAGAGCTGTGCTGGTTCCACAAACGCAGTGGCTGGGGCTGGAGGCTGTGGTGCTGCTCCCCTGGGTGAGGGGAAGTGCTCTTAGTGATGCTGTGCTGGTCGATTGTCCACTCTGCTTTTACAGGTGGTGATCATGAGGGACTACCAACACGTCAACGTAGTGGAGATGTACAAGAGCTACCTCGTGGGAGAGGAGCTGTGGGTGCTGATGGAGTTCCTGCAGGGCGGAGCCCTCACAGACATCGTGTCTCAGATCAGGTACAAAGCAAAACCTGAAACGTCACCACCTGTGTTCCCACCTGACAGGCAAGAGCAGTGGAGGTGGAGATTTCTGGGAAGAACAGTTTCCCTCAGAGATCTTGTGTTTGCAGGGCCCAGAAACTACTACTACACTCTT